CCCCACAGCCCCCCCCCGCCCCACACCGTGCCCCTCCCCCCGACATTCCTGCCCCACAGGGGGTGGATTTGCGGCAGTACTCAGCGCAGGTGGAGGCGGAGCTGCAGGAGGTGGAGCGAGCGTCCATCCGCGACTGTATCCTTCTGTCAGCCTGTTGTGGTGGTGGGGTGTTGTGGTGGTGGGGTGTTGTGGCGTTTCCATCCGCGACTGTATCCTTCTGTCAGCCTGTTGTGGTGGTGGGGTGTTGTGGTGTTGTGGTAGTGGGGTGTTGTGGTAGTGGGGTGGTGGAGTGTTGTGGTGTGGTGCTGCGTTGTTGTGCTGTTTGTGTTGTGATGCGTCCATCCGCGACTGTATCCTTCTGTCAGCCTGTTGTGGTGGAGTGTTGTGGTGTTGTGGTAGTGGGGTGTTGTGGTGGTGGGGTGGTGGGGTGGTGGGGTGTTGTGGTGGTGTGGTGTGTCCATCCGCGACTGTATCCTTCTGTCAGCCTGTGGTGGTGGTGTGGTGTTGTGCTGCGTTGTTGTGCTGTTTGTGTTGTGGTGCATCCACCTGCAACTGTATCCTTCTGTCAGCCTGTTGTGGTGGTGTGGTGTTGTGGTGTTGTGGTGGGGGGGTGTTGTGGTGGGCGGGTGTTGTGGTAGTGGGGTGTGTCCATCTGCGACTGTTCTTCTGTCAGCCTGCTGTGCTGTTGTGCCGTCGCGTTGTGGCATTGCGTTGTTGTGGTGTTGCGTCGTGGTGTTGCACCGTTGTGGTGTTGTGTTGTTGTGGTGTTTGCATTGTGTCGTGTCCATCTGCGACTGTATCTTTCTGTCGGCCTGCTGCGCTGTTGCGTTGTGGTGTTGTGATGTCGTGGTGGTGTTGTGTTGTTGCAGTATTGCAGTATTGTGGTGATGTAGTGTGTCGCTGTGTTGTTGTGGAGCTGTGCTGTTGTGTTGTCGTGTAGTTGTGCGATTGTGCAGTTGTGTGGTTGTACAGTTGTGTGGTTGTACAGTTGTGTGGTTGTGCAGTTGTGTGGTTGTGTGGTTGCGCAGTTGTGTAGTGTGGTTGTGTTGTTGTGCAGTTCTGTTGTGTCATTGTGCAGTTGTGTGGTTGTGCAGTTGTGTCATCGTGTGGTTGTGCAGTTGTGTTGTTGTGCGGTTGTGCAGTTGCGTGGTTGTGTCATTGTGCAGTTGTGTGGTTGTGCAGTTGTTTGCTTCTGTCATTGTGCAGTTTTGTGGTTGTATGGTTGTGCAGTTGTGTGGTTGTGCGGTTGTGTGGTTGTGTCATTGTGCAGTTGTGCGGTTGTGCAGTTGTGTCATTGTGTTGTGTGGTTGTGTCGTTGTGTTGTTGTGTCACTGTGTCGTGCAGTTGTGTGGTTGTGCAGTTGTGTAGTTGTGTTGTTGTGCGGTTGTGTTGTTGTGTCGTTGTGTCGTGTTGTTGTTGTGTGGTTGTGTCATTGTGCAATTGTGCAGTTGTGTTGTGTGGTTGTGTTGTTGTGCGGTTGTGTCGTTGTGTTGTTGTGAGGTTGTGCGGTTGTGTCGTTGTGTTGTTGTGTGGTTGTGTGGTTGTGTTGTTGTGTAGCTCCTTACCCCCGCGCAGACATCAAGGAGAGCGAGAACATCGCGGAGCTGCACAACCAGATCACCGCCTGCGACGCCATCCTGCAGGTGGGCGCCGGGGGGCACCGGGGGGCGCGGCGGGAACAGGGGGGGTCTGTGGGGCACAGTGGGATCCTATGGGGCACAGTGGGGTTCAGTGGGGGT